GTAGCCTTGGGGCGCGCAGAAAGCCTCGAGGGACGCGTTGGGCACGCGCCGGAAGGCCGGGCAGTACTGGTTGTAGTAGGTGAAGAGGGACTCGAACATGGCCGCGGGCTCCCGCAGGATGGTGACGTAGACGGTGCCCGGCGGCATGAGGCCCTCGAGCTCCGCGCGGTCGAAGCGCAGGTGGCTGGCCAGCACGTGCGGCGGGCGCGTGGCCGGGTGCACGAAGTGCGCCGAGAAGTTGCGCGGGTAGCAGAACTGGTGCTCGCACCGCGGGTGCGGCAGGGCCACCGTCAGGTTGTGGCGCTCGGCGAAGCGGAACAGGATGTTCTGCACCGTGGTGCCCGCCGTCTTGTGCGTCTTCAGGAAGGCCACGGTCATGTGCTTGGGGCGCGGTGGGGAGTCCTGCAGAGGCGGGCAGCTCAGAGGGAACAGCCTGGGGTACCTGCAGGGTCCGGGGAGGGGTTCGGGGAGGAGGGTGTGAGAGGCTGTGAGCCCTGCCCCTGCCCGAGGATGGTTGGGGTGGGCTACAGAGCAGCCCGTTTTGGGCTTTACCCACAGAGCAGTAGAGGGGTATGGTAGGCGGCCTCTAAGATGACCCACGTGATCCCTGCTGGCCTCCTGGTATTCATGCTGTTGTGTATTTCCTTCCCCTTGAGTATGGGCGGGGCTTATTGATGTCTCTAAGGAATAGAATAGGGCAGAAATGATGGATGTCACTTGTGAGATTGCACTATAAAAAGACTGGCTTCTATCTTGGTGTCTTATCTAGGACAACTCCTGTAGGTGAGCAAGCTGCCATCCCATGAGCCACCCTATGGGGAGGCATCCCATGGCAACAGTTACTAAGGAACTGGGCCTTCACTCCATCACCCTGCTTGAGGAACTGAAGTCTGTCAACAACCACATGCGTGAGCTTGGAAGGGGAGCCCGTCCAATCAGACCTTCAGATGAGACTGCAGCCCCATGAGAGAGCTTGAGCTGAGGTACCCAGCTAAGCCCCACCTGGGTTCCTGACCCACAGAAGTGAGATAATAAATGTTTGATGTGCTCAGCTGCTAAGTTTTGAGGTAATTTGGTTACACAGAAATAGATAACTAATAGAGGGAGAATGGCCCTTGGAGATCCTTGAGGAATTCCACTCTAAAGGTGTAGAAACGGAGGTTTAGAAGAAAAAAGTCATTTACATAAGTCTGGCAACCCAGATAAAGTCGCCAAGTCCTCTTGCTCTCTCTTGTTTTTCACTTTTTCTTTTTCACTGGCTCCTCACCTTGTGGATGAGAGGCAAGGGCTTTGAGGCAAACCATTTGTCATGTGATTCTGTTAAGACCTCTGGAGCTTTATTCATTCATTCGGCCAATATTTTTTTTAGTCATCTCCTATGTGCCAGGCACTGTTCTAGGCTCAAGAAATATGATAGTATAGAGAGCAGATAACAATCCTAGCCTTCATGAAGCTTTCATTTGTTTCCCTGATCCTGAAAGGATGTTTGGGCTTACAGGTAAACTGGTGAGATCTTTTCAGACTTTGAGTCACTCCCCTGTTTCTTTTCTGCCACCCTAGTCATAATGGAATGAGGAAACGCTAAGCAGCTTGGAGAACACCATTGAGATTTCCTATCCGTGGCTGATTTGGGTTCAGGATAATGTCTACACAGACGCCCTTTTAAAGACCAGCAAATCACGGGGTTGGGCCCACTCACATCATTCTCCTGGGCAGACCATGCAGAAAATGGGGAAGTTGAGGCTCTGAGGGGTGCAGGTATTTGTTGGGTTCACACGTGAGCCAGGAGTAGGGCCAGAGCTCCTATTAGTCACATGGTATCCTGTGTCAGGGTGACTAGCTGGGTCACACATACCATCATTTCTATTTTACAGATGAGGGAACGGGCTCAGAGAAGTGAGAGGACTTGCCCAGCACAGCAGAAGTAGTGAAAAGTTGTTTGCAGTCCTTTCGGGAGGCACTGGATTTGGACTGGATTAGAGTCCCAGTTTAGTCACTGACTCACTCTGACTTTGAGCAAGTCACTCCCATTTCGATGAAGATCAATCCATGCCCTGGGAGGTTGTGTGGATCTAAAGAGATGTATGGTGCCCGGCCAGCGTGGCTCATTGAGCATCGACCTATGAACCAGGAGGTTATGGTTGGATTCCTGATCAGGGCACATGCCCAGGAGTGGGCTTGATCCCCAGTGTGTGGCATGTGGGAGGCAGCCGATCAATGATTCTCTCTCATCATTGATGTTTCTATATCTCTCTCCCTCTCCCTTCAGCTCTGAAATCAATATAAATATATATATTTTTAAAAATAAAGAGATGTGTGGAAAGCACTTCAGGATAGAGCAGTGATGGTGAACCTATGACACGTGTGTCAGAGGTGACATGCAAACTCATTTTTTTGGTTGATTTTTCTTTGTTAAATGGCATTTAAATATATAAAATAAATATCAAAAATATAAATCTTTGTTTTACTATGGTTGCAAATATCAAAAAATTTCTATATGTGACACGGCACCAGAGTTAAGTTAGGGTTTTTCAAAATGCTGACACGCCGAGCTCAAAAGGTTCGCCATCACTGGGATAGAGGGAAGGAACGAAGCCCAACAGAAGACAGACTTCTGGCAGGTGCAAGGAATGGGAAGAAGGTTCTGGTGTTAACCAGGCAGCTGGCCCCCTGAATACCCCAACTGCCCTGGGCCCCGCCCCTCACCGAGGCCCCTACCCCTTACCAGCTGAGTTGTGCACCCTGGTGGATGAGGAGGCTCAAGGTGCTGCACCCTAGCACCAGCAGCAGGATTTTCCTGCGGCTCATCATCTTGGTGGCCTGCTGCAGGCGTTGGAGGATGGGTGGCATGATGGCGTACCCACCCCTGGCCTAGCCAGGGTCTTGCTATCCAGGACACCCGCTGCTGGCACTCATGGGGGCTCCTGAGGCTCTGGTAGCAGGGCCAGTGTTCCGGAGAGGCCTGGCAGGGGAAGAAGGCAAACAGGTTTGCAGTGGGCAGAGGAGATGGGCTCTCAGCCCCAGCGGACTGCTGCAAAGGAGAGCTCCCAAGAGTGGGGTGAGCAGAGAGGCCAGGGAAGATCAGATTCCTGCCTCCCGTCACCAAGACCCTATCTCCACACGGCTCCAGATAACTTAGCCTTGGGTGGAATTACAGGCTCTGGGGTGTGGCCAGCCCTTCAGGCTATCGCCACTCCCTTAAGCCCTGTCTCTGCTTCTCTCTGTGCCCCCAATTCCTTTGTCTCGTGGCCATTTGTATCTGTCTCCCCAGTAGACTTGCCTTGGCACCGCGGCTTGGCTCAGGTCACAGAAGTCTCAACTCAAGGTTTCCCCTCCTTCCCTGATGGCTTCGGCCAAGGGTTGGTCTTGACCCCCAGAAACTGAGCTCCTCAGAAACACTGACCAAACCTTCACCTTCTCAAGTCTCTGACACAGGGACTTACTGTTTGTACTATGCTATTATATACTTAATCCTGTTTAATCACCTCAACCCTAACATATTATTCCCACTATACAGACAAGGAAACTGAGGCTCTAAAAATGAAGCCCCTTGTCTGGGCCACAGAGCTGGTATTAGCAGAATCTGGGATCAGACCTGCTCTTTCTGGCTTAGATAGGTGTGCTGCTTCCAAAAAGAACTGGTTTCCCCAGCCTGCCCTGAACTCTGGCACTTCTGCCCGCTTCTGAGCCCTGAGCCCTCCCACCTGGGCTCCTGCTCTGAGGGTTCAAGACCAATAAATCCATGAGGGACTTGAAATCCTGGAACCCTACCTGGATTCCATCCCCAGACACCTGAAACCCTGGCCACCCCATCAGCTTCCTCTACAGTGAGAGGCAGTGGATGGCAGCTTGGGCGTGGGGCAGGGTGTGGGGATGCAGAGGGGCTCCTGCTCATTGCCCTGCTGAGGATCTCCTGGAGGTGGGCCTGCATTCCAGGTGAGTGACAGGTGTGAGAGCCAGAAGAGCCTGGTTTCCGGCCAGTCACCCACACATGAATGCTTTGGCTCAAGGGCAGCACAGCCCTTGGCAACTCCAGTGGAAAGTCGGCTTCAGTAGCAATGCCTGTCAGGTAGGGTGGGGTCTCTGCCCCAGCGGCCTTGTCTCCAGGTTCTGGTTCAGCTTCAGCCTCATAAACCCTCCTCTCCAAAAGGGAGGGGGAGCCTGGAACCTTACGGGCATGTGCATGTGTGGAACTAGGACACCTGAGTCCCAGGAGGGGTGAGGTAATGTGAAAACTCTTTTGACCATCACCTTTCCTGGGGGCCCTGGGCTTGGCTTCCAGCCCCTCTTCTTCCCCCACACAATTAATCCTGGATTACACTGAAACCTGATGGGCTGGAAAGATGTCTGGTTATGCCTTTCCCTTCCTTCCGGGCCCCAGCACCTTGTCTCCTCCATCAGCTTGCAGACAGACTTAATCCACCTGGAGCCAAGGGCGGTGAAGGGTCCAGCCACAGAGGACAACCAAGGAGCAAGTCCACCCCCACCCCTGCTGGGGCAGAGGAGGGCTGGCTCTGTCTGGGTGGGCAACCTTCAGGAGGAAGTCAGAGCCAGTGGCCCTCGCAGGATGGAGGCCTTCCCTTTGTCATTTATCCTGCCTAGAGGACTTGGTGGCCAGGCAGGAGTTCCCCAAAGGGGCAAAGTGAGGGCCCCGCCTATTCCCATCTTTGCTAAACTCCTTGAAACCACCCTATTTTTCAGAGGACTCTGGGTCAGCCAAACATGTCAAGCCTGGAGGGAGCTATGGTGGAATTTCCTCTGGGAGATGCTTCAACCAGGTCACACAGAGAGGGCAATGGGCTGCTTGGTGGCTCCCTCCATGCCGTTCCCCTTAGCCCCAAGGAGCCAGCCAGCCAGACCCTATGTGAGGCTCACTTGGAACCAGCCATCATGAGCACAAGAATTCCCCAGGCACGAGTTTCTGCTTGGCCACCATCGATGATAGAATGCTCATCACCTTCAGATACAGCCTGGTCCATTTCTGAGCAGCGCTGGCTGTTCAGAAGTTCTCTCTGGGATAGCTAGCATCCTCACTTGTCCCCTTCCACCTTCCGCTCTGCATGTGGCCAGTGCTGCCCTCCTAGACCACACAGACCACTTTTCTCCATGACACCTGCAGGTGTTTGAAATCAGTACTCCTGTCTCCTTGGGGTGGGCACTCAGCCAGGATAAACATTCCAGGTCCCAAGAGAGTGCAGCCTCCCTTCCCGTGGCAAGTTCAATCCTTGGTGCCTCTGCTGGAGATGGAGTCAGCGTCCGGACACCCGGGAGGGGCTGTCCGCTTCTGTGGGCTCCAGGCTGGTGTGGGGAGGGTCTGCTGGGGCCAGGCCCCTCATAGGCTTCAAACTACTTCCCGGCTTCCCTTCTGTCTTCTTCATGGAGAGTTTCCCTCAGCCACCCCAGACAGGCCAGGGTGCCCGACCTCATCAGAATATCAGGGCTAATTTTAGTCAGCACAACCTACCTCAGGCTGCTGCAAATTGCTTTCCCTTCTCCAGGGAACCAAAGAAGAAATGGAATAGCTAGCCAGAGCTCTGCAAACTGGCCTGGGTGCCCACCCACTCCCAAGCGAGCCCTCCTCTCTCCTCCAAGCTCTAGGGCCAAGAGTGGTGCATTTAGAGGAGGAGGGCGCCCTGGCCTGGACCACCCAGACCTGAGGACCTGACCTTTGGCTGACCTGGAGACTCCATCCTCACTTGGGGATGGCACAGTCCAGTAAACAGTTTCTCCCTAGAGAGAAGGGCCAAAGGCTAAGGAGGCTGCAAATGAGTGTCCCAGGAGATCACGTATCTTTCCACCTCCCTCCTTTCCTTCCTTTTTCCTCCGCCTGCACCGGGTCCCTCCAGCCCCCTTTCCCTGTCCCCAACGTCATCCCTGTCTCCGAATTCCCCTCCCCTGCTCGCTCCATCACCATCTACCTCCCCCACCTCCATTCCCTCAGTTTCATCCCAGCCTCCCCCAGGGATCTGTCACCGGCATCTGCTCGTAGGGGACAGGCCAGATTCGCCCTCTCGCCCAGTCCTCTCCCGCTCCCCACACACGCGCCCCTCCTCATGCTCTCAGGGCTCTGCGCCCCTAGGACACGCTCCCGCCCATCCTGCGCCCCCCTTCCGGGACCGGTCCACCCCTCCTCCCCGCCCAGGTTGGCTACCGCAGTACTCACGCGCGGGCTCTGCCTCCGTCCCTGGTGGCGGGTGGTCGCCGCCTCCCAACCCTTTTCCTGAAATCCGCTGCGGGTCCGAGGGCGCCGGGGCCCTGCGCACCGAGCACCCGTCGCTCGCCTCTCCGCGCCTGGATGGGATCAGGTGGCGGCGTCCGCCGGGCTTCTCGGCTCACGGCTCTGCCCGCTGCCCGCCCCCCATCGCATACTGGAGGCGGGGCGGGGGCGGGGGCCCAGCGGCAGAGCTGGGGAGGAGGAGGGGAAGGGGAGTGAGAAGAGGAGGGGGCAGCCCTGACTCCGAGGCTGCCGATGAACATTTTCCAGGCGGCATCTTCTGATGCGGGCATCTTTCCCTGGCAACCTTGCTGAGTCCGGACACCAAGGTGGCCAGCTCCTTGCCTCACAGAAGGGGACATTTAGGTTCGGAAAGTATCTGGATACTGTGGCATTGCTGGACATTCCTGGGCCCCACTGGTCAACCTTGGGCTGGAGCATCCTGGGTGTGTGTGTGTGTGTGTGTGTGTCAGAGACACAGGTACATTTACAGGCACCCACATGCTCCCTCCCTCCTCTCCTTCTCCTCTTTCCACCTCCAGATAAGAAGCATAGTTGCATAGAAGCATAGTCTGGCCCCATCTGCCCTCATACCTCTGGGAACCCTTTTCCTCCAGCCCCGGAAGCAGCCCTTGCTGCTGACCCACTCCCACCCTCCACCAGGACCCAGACCCACTCACTCCTGACCAGAGCCTCAGTGGATGGGAGCTGTTCTGAGCCCGCAGAGGTGGTACGTGTGAAGATGATACTTGTGAGCTCCTGTGTGTGTGTGGGGAATAGTTTTGAATTTTCTACTGCCGTTCCAGGAGCTAGGCAGCAGCACCTCCCAAAGTCACCCCAGACACCAAGAGCCACACACGTAGTTCTCTGGCGCTCACAGAGTCCTGGAGCCCTGCTTTCTCCTGCCCCCTTGGCCTGGTATGGCAAGGGTCCCAGAGCTGAGGCAGCCACCCATAGCTGGGACTGGAAGGGACTAGATTCCATTCTATACCCACACAGGTAGGTGTTGTGTGAGGGTCCTTATTAAGGAGGAGGAGGGAATGGGGACACTCAGGATCAGGAGAACTGCTCGTCCCAGATTGGCTCCTCAGTCTTCCCCTCTGAACAATGGAGGACCTACCCTGCCTGGGTCCCAGGGCTGTTGGGATAAAATGGGGCCCCACTAGGGTTGTTGCTTTCTGGCCTAAGCAGCACCACCTCCTCACCCATCAGCCCTTAGTTTATCCTGCCTGAGACCGCCAACCTCTTCCCCAGCACATACACATGCTTTGGGGCCTCTAGCCTCAGATGACCTGCCATTGGCTCTCCAGTTACAGGGAGCAGAAAGGCACTTCCTTTGTGTCAGGAATGGTTCTGCTTGAGTGGGCTGACAAGCTGGAGGGGAGGGCGAACTGTTCTTTCTTCTGTCCTTTTTGGGTTTGGCTTCTCCTCTGGGAGTGTCAGGAGACTGGGATGGTGGTAGTGATAGAAGTGGGAAGGGTCAAGGTTTGGACAGGAGCAAAGAGAATTTCCTAGCCAGTCATTTTTCCTGGCCCAGTCCTCTTCTCTGTCTGTTATAAACCTCACACCTTCCCTGGACCTGACACCCTATTTTTTTTCACTGTTCCCAGCTATTTCTTTGTTGGAGGCAGCCAGTGAAATGGAGCATGCTAGAGATATGAAGGGTGTGGGTGTGTGGGGGAAATGAGACCATTTCACTTGAGTTTCCTGGCTCTACACACACACCCACACACACACGTTGAACTGACTGGTCAGGACAGGGAGAGGTGGAAGCTGGGCAGGTAAGGGGTACCTGCCCATTTCTCCCTCAGGCGTACAGGCCAGTGGTGGGGGTTGGGGGGTGCAGGAGGCAGGAGGCAGGGTCGGTCCTCCAGGAGGCTGGTGGGGATGAGGGAAGAAAAGATCCTGAGTTTATTTTGGAGACTAAAAAGACGAAAATAATGTCCCTGGAAAGACTGCTCCACTTGCCCTCCCTTCCCCAGTTATCATTTATCGAACGCCAGGCCCCTGCTCACGTTCTTGGGGATAGAGGTGGGTAGAAGGGGCAAGAAAGACTTCAAAACAAATGGTGGGAGGTTTGCATGTATTATGAGGGCTCCAAGGAAGCAACGGAAAACGGGAGAGGGCTTAGCGGAGACGACATTTGAGCCGGCCTGGAAGATGGAAAAAGGGACTTAAAGTGTGGCCCTTCCCCCGGGCCCGCAGCTGGAGCTCAGCCCGGGCGGGTCCGCTCCTCTCCCGGCTCCGATCCCCTTTCAGCGCATTCATTCCCACCTGGGCCGGGGTGGGCGGGCAGACAATCAGACGCGGTTTTATCGCAGGCATCGGCTGCAACCTTCTGCTTTTGGCGCCCGCAACGCGCGGCGGCTGGGGAATTAGTCTTTCGGAACTCCCGGGAACGGAAGCGTCCGGGCCTCTCACACTGGCTCCGGGAGTCGGAAGGCTACGGTCTGCGCTCGGGACTGCCAGGCGCTGAAAGCAAGCCCTCCGGGAGGGACCCGCTGTCCCCGCAGCCCCGCCCCTGCGCCCGTCCCCAGTGTTCCCGGTGCAGTGGCCGGGTACCGTACTACAACTCCCAGAAGGCCTCGCGACCATGGGAGAACGACAAGGGGTGGGCCTCTATCCGAGCAGCCTGCCAACCCGGGAGGGACGTGGCGTACCACGCTGCCGGAAGTTCCGGGAAGTGCTGCCGGAAGTTCCGGGAAGTGGGCCCCGAGTCTGGCGCGCCTTGCTGCTGCTAAGATGGCGGCCGAACATCCCGAGCCTCCCAAAGGAGAGTTGCAGCTGCCGCCGCCGCCACCTCCTGGTCACTATGGCGCCTGGGCTGTCCAGGAGCTTCAGGCCAAATTGGCCGAGATCGGCGCTCCGATCCAAGGTAAGGAGAACTGGAGATCAAGAGCCAGCCGCGTAGGCCTGCGGGGAAGCGGAGCCTGGTTACCCCGGAGATCGGGGGGCGGAGGCGGGCCGCTGGGGCCCGACTTGGGCGGACGGGCCTGACTCGGGCTCGGCGTGACTTACCGGATGATCCTCTTCTTTGCACAGCTGGGAGTCGCGAGGAGCTAGTGGAACGGCTGCAGAGCTACACCCGCCAGGTAAGTGTTGGCGGCGGGAGGAGGCCTATCATGACCTCCTAACTCGGTCTTGGTTCTTTGTGTGCCTTGGCACAGCTAGCGGGGCTTCCCTTTTTGTGTGTTGTTGTCTTTACCTGCTCTCGTGTAACCGTCTCTATACACCTACTGGTCTTCCCAGTGCCCAGCCGAGCTCCAGCAGACAGGCCTGGGTAAATGTTGCATGGATAGGAGTGAACATCCCTTAGTCACGCAGCGGTTCTCAACCTGTGGGTCGCGACCCCTTTGGCGGTTGAACGACCCTTTCACAGGGGTCGCCTAAGACCATCCTGCATATCAGATATTTACATTACGATTCATAACAGTAGCAACATTACAGTTCTGAAGTAGCAATGAAAATTTATGGTTGGGTCACAACATGAGGAACTGTAATTAAAGTGCCAGAAGGTTGAGAACCACTGCTAGTGGAACAGCTGCTCTTGGACTGACCTAGAGCCCGTTCTCTTTTGCAGACTGGTATTGTACTGAATCGGCCGGTTCTGAGAGGTGAAGATGGGGACAAAGCAGCTCCGCCTCCCATGTCAGCACAGGTAAGATGGTGGTTCCACTTTTTAAGGTCCCTTTTGCTTAGAAAGGTCCTTCTCACGTATAGGCGGGATGCAACTAGGAGACTGGGCAGGGAGGTGCTGCAGTGACAGGATTAGCTCTTCAGTTCGTCCTTGGTCCTGATCCTTGCATCCTTCCCCAGTGTCTGGTCCTCCAAATTCTACTTAAGATTTAGCGCAAATATTTGGAAGCCTGACTTGATTTACCCCCACCCCCTCCAAACCAGCTGGAAGTAATCGCTATCTTCTTTGTCCTCCTGGGCATAGTTCCTTTATTCATTGAGACATTAGGGGTCACTCCTTGATTTGATTTCATACCCTCTATGTTTACTGAGCAATTGGGAGATACTGGCTCCCGTTTATCTAAGTTCTCTCAACTTCCATGTTCTTTCTGATCCAGGATTTTACTTTTTCTCTAGAGCAGTGGCTCTGACCTGGGATCCATTGATTTCTGTGTGTGGGGTGAGGAGTCCTTAGAAGGCCTTTAGCGGTGTCCCTGAATCTCCTGAAATTGCATGCAAAATCTGTGTTCATGCTAGACTGGTGTGGCTCAGTGGTTGAGAGTCAACCTATAAACCAGGAGGTCAGGGTTCATTTCCAGGTCAGAGCACACGAGTGGCCTGATCCCCAGTAGGGAGAGCGCAGGAGGCAGTCAATCAATGATTCTCATCATTGATGTTTGTATCTCTCTCCCTCTCCCTTCCTTTCTGAAACCAATAAAAATCTATTTTTTAAAATGTGTGTTCATGATATTTTTCTGAGGAGAAAATCAATAGCTTTCATTGGTTGGTGTCCCAAAGTTAACATCTTTTCTTGGTATTGCTATAGAGCAGTGATGGTGAACCTATAACATCTTTTCTTGGTATTGCTATAGAGCAGAGGTGACACGCGAACTCATTTTTCTGGTTGATTTTTCTTTGTTAACTGGCATTTAAATATATAAAATAAATATCAAAAATATAAGTCTTTGTTTTACTATGGTCGCAAATATCAAAAAATTTCTATATGTGACACGGCACCAGAGTTAAGTTAGGGTTTTTCAAAATGCTGACACGCCGAGCTCAAAAGGTTCTCCATCACTGCTATAGAGTATTGTCTTGAATTTAAGAATTGTGTGTCATTTGACTTTGAATCCCAGCACTTGCCAGATAGTAGATCCCCAGCAAATGTCTGCAGTAGATAAATGCTTCCTAGATTATGATCATATATTTTTTCCACAGCTCACTGGGATTCCGATGCCACCGCCACCCATGGGCCTCCCGCCTCTGCAGCCTCCTCCACCACCTCCACCACCTCCACCAGGCCTTGGCCTTGGTTTTCCTATGGCAGTTGGACCCCGCCCACCAAACTTGGGGCCCCCACC